GGAGGTTGCGGTGAGCCGAGATCGCGCCATTGCACTCCAGCCTGGGTAACATGAGTGAAACTCCGTCCCAAAAAAAAAGCATTGCAACTTTTCAGTATAAACAATTTTTAAAACTGTTAAATCACTTTTTATAATGTATCCAAGAGAATCTACATAACAACTAAATAACCGGCCGCTATCCATTAAAGCATACACTAAGGAGCTCTTCAACATTGTTCTTTTATTATCTCTAACATATTTAGGTTGTACTCTACTATAAAATGTTATTCAAATGCAATACTTTGATGTTTAAAAAACCTTTTATTGATCACTTTTTTGCAATAAAAATATAATGTATGTATTAAACTTAAAAAAAATTTCCTGTAACTTTATGGCTCTATGCTGGAATTCTTCTGAAGTCAGTAATCATCACAATAATCTTTAGTAAATAGTGGATCAAAATGACACAATTACAGATATCGATAATACACAATTATAAAAGGTGAAATTCTATTGGGAACACATCTCTTAGTGAGACACATGGGGCTGTCCCACCAATTAATTCATTTATCTGGATGAACAGTTCCTACTGCTAGATTAATAGGGTTCAGTTTCAATTGTTTTTTCATAGATACAAGTGCTGAGAAATGAATTTACATAAACAAATAGGTGGGAATGCTAGTAGTTTTGCTGTAAGAATGTCAACCAATTCTTTGGTTTCTTTCTGAGTTGCATGCCAAAAACCAAATAGTATTCCTTCCTCGGCTGACAATTAAATAGAGCTACCATTAATTTTGTTGAAAACAAAGAACTGGAAATCATCTGACTTGAATCTGTTATCCTGTTATTAGAATCATTCACTTTCTCTAGTGACTTTTAATTATACTAATTACTCTCAGAGGTATTTAGGCAAGGTTGAGAAATTCAACATATTAATTTCAACACGTCTTTAGCATCACAATATCACAGTAATTTAAATATATTTTAGTCGTAGCTACAGATTTAGCTCACTTTATTGTAAATAATAATTATGCTAATTAGCAACGATAGTATGTTTAACCAATTAATCTTCAGATTTACTTTCGGTCAGAATAGCTGACCTCACTTTTTTTTTTTTTTTTTTT